GAAAACCAGCTGATTGCTTCAACCCATTGACAGAAGCGGACAAAGAAAAGAAGCAGAGATACAATAGGCAAGTGACAACTACCTCCAAAGCTCCGAGCCAGCTCCCATGTCAGAGGATGAAGAAAATAACATACAGTTAGTCCTAGTCAGAGAAACAGGACCACACTGAAAAATAGGCCAAAACTCCAAAATCCACAAAAGAAGGTGGTGATGGCAGCAGCACAGCTGATATTTCTCTCCAGGATGGAGTAACAGCCCAACAGTAACAGACCAGATGAAGCTACTATGATGAGAATAAGCAGAGAGAGCATAAAGTTATAGAGTGAACTAATAAATACGGCAGAATGGGAGAATAGAGATGGAATGATGAAAAGGGGTCCCTATGTTCTCCTGCAATCTAAGCCTATAGCAGCACAAAAGCAGGAAATAGCTCAGGATAACCTAAGTATTTTGGATGAGGTATAAGAAAGGTAGAGTCACAATGTGGCCAAGGTAGAACAAAGATGAAACATCTAACCGGACTAAAATTCTCCCCCACCAGATCGGGCTGCTATCCCTCTACCTCCACCTATCTCCCTACTTACCCAGTGACTAAGCACATCCCACTCTTTTTTTAACTATAACTTTTATGAAAAAAGTAAAGCTTTAAGCCTACCTTTAAACTGCATCATTGTGCTGTACTCTGCAATGGAGTATCAGTCGTGCTGCTGCGTCTTGTTTGATCCTGCCGCCCACCTGCAGCGCTACATATTCTGTATGACAACAAATGGATCATGGCAGCAGCGGCATGGTCTGAGAAAATAACCCAGAATCATCTGGTGCTGCACACTCAACTCTGACAAACTCTGATCTTCTAGCTGTGCTTGTGCAGAAATGCATCTTTGTGCGCGTAGCTCAGATTCTGCGCTTCTCGCTCCACTCTAATTGTTCGCTGTCAGCAGTATGGCTCTTCCTGGTCTCGCTACTTAATAAACTATGTGGCTGATCATCCTCTGCCAAGCGTAAAAAATCCCTTTGTCCAACTATCAAGATTTTATTTCTTCCAGCTCACAAGAGGAGATACTAAACATTCTTTAATTTCAACCAAAAGGAATCCCTAAATGATCTCCAAAGCAAATATTTCATAGCAAAGTGTTTATTTTTGGATAAAGAGCCAGGTGAAAAAGGTACATAGATCTTTGAATATTTCTCTCTCATAGTTCTAGTTTCTATCTATTTAAATATGATGTAAATGTTTCCTTGTATTGTCATTAAAACATTTTCTCTGTTTCTTTTGAATTTGTCAATATCTTAAGTAGTATATTCATTCAATTTAGGTCTGGATTGCTATTGTTATATCAGATATCTGTGAATTTAAATCTACTTTGACCCCTGAGCAGTGGTAACAAAGGGGGAAATTCTCATAAAGCCAAAATTGCCAGAGTAAAAAGGAATATTTTTGTCCTTTGATTTTATGGAGAAATGAACATTTTATTGATCTGTGTGTAAGTCATAGCTCATAGTAGATCAGGAAGTGTTTGCTTTTGAATGGAAACCTCATATGTCTAAAACCGTTCCTTTATTGTACATTTTGTTAACTTGTCTGTCTGCTATATTAACCAATATGATGTGTTGAACTAGCTGTGCTATTTTCACAGCTTTTGTGAGCCACTTTTTTTTAATTTTTTTTTATAGAGCATTGATTTATAAAGTTTATTTGAATTCTATAAATCAAAGTTTTCAGCCAACAGCAATGATGCACTGCATGGCAGCATTCTATACCCAGCGATTGTAGTATCAACACTTATCCTGATCAAAAATAACAAAAGAAGTTTTACTATATTATAGGAAATCAATTTAATCATAAATCCAAATGAAGTGACTGACTAATCAGCTTATTCTTCAAAGACTATAACCTTTGTTTTGTTTGCATTCACAAGCAGAAAGGTAGAAGTCATCCAGGTTTTCATGTGTTTGATGACATGCCTGTAATCTATGTAATGGGTTAGTTTTATATGGATATATAGACAGAAATAGCTGGGTATCATCAGCATAACAGTGGAAATTAATCCCGTGCTGTTAAATAATTCTACTAATTGGGAGCATATATATTGTAAAGAGAATTGGTCCTAGCACTGATCCCTGCGGTACTCCACAGGTAACCCTGGAGCATGATGAAGATTGATCATTAACGTGAACAAACTGAAATCGATCAGAAAGATACAATTTAAGCCAGTTTAGCGCTGTTTCTTTGATTCCTACAAAATATTCAAGTCTTCCTGATAGAAAATTATGATCAAATGCTTCAAATGCAGCACTGAGATCTAACAGGACAAGTACAGATACAAGTCCATTATCTGAGGCCATTAGAAAACAAAATGTATCAACCTGTCAATGGGAATAAACTAAACTTTTTCCTCTGCAGTGTTGCTCAGAAACACAGAGGAGGGATAAATTGAAACAGATTTTTTTAAATTAATAACTACACTATCTGAAATGATTGGGTAAACTGAAACCTTCTTTTGGGGGAGGAGAACTCTGTTAAAATAATCCTAAAAAGTGTTCAGAGAGGACAGGGTTGTGAGAAAATACTATTATTTTTTCACATTCAATGCACAAGGTCCAAAGTATGGAAAAGAATATGTGCGACTGTTCACATTTTGAACAAAGCCAATAGCGTCTAGTATAGCGTTAAATGCTGCACTTTAGCCATCACCTTCAATGTCAGCATGGATGTTAAAATGCCCTACAGTGATGGTCCTGTCAGTATTAAACACCTCATCAGATAGGAACTCTGAAAATTCATCAAAAAATTAAGAATAAGGACCTGGTGGACGATACAAAATAACAAAAAGAAGAGGGTTTTCTGGCTTTGCAATTTGGAAGAGGGAAATTGAAATTAAGGGTTAAATGTTCAAAAGAGTTGTAATTATTAACTGCCGTTGCAGTAGTCAGTAAGTCAGACTTAAAGATTGTTGTTACACCTCCTCCTCGCCCAGAATTTCAGGGTATGTGAAAATAACTAGAAGGAGTTGCCTCAGTTATGCTCACATAATCCTCTTGCTGCAGCCAAGTTTCTGTAAGGCAACATAAATCAATGTGATTATCACATTAACTACCAGATTGTTTGAAGAAAGCAATCCTATGCTGAATAAGTGTAATTGGCCCCTTTAATTTCAGTGCAGCAAACTCCATAAATTCAATGAAGATCTTTAAATGATACAATGTTGAAAATTACATACACATCACCTGTGTGTAGTCCAGTCTCTGTATAAATGCACCTGCTCTGTGATAGTCTCAAGTCTATTTAAAGTGCAGAAAACATCATGAGGAAGAAGGAACGCACCAGGCAGATCAGAGAAACTGACTTTTAGAAGTTTAAAGTTGGATTTGGATACATAAAGATTTGCAAAATGTTATGATGGTGCGAAATGTTATATTGGTGTAGGAGCAACACCCCTCATCTCCCTGAACACACCATCCCCACTGTCAAACATGGTGGTGGCAGAATCATGCATTGGTTCTGCTTTTCTTTAGCAGGGACAGGGAAGATGGTTAAAATTGATGGGAAGATGGATGCAGCCAAATATAGGAGCATTCTGGAAGAAAACCTGTTGGAGTCTGAAAAAGAGCTGAGACTTGGAGATGTATCTTCCAACAAGACAATGATCCAAAACATAAAGCTAAATCCACTATGGAATGGTTCACGACTAAACACATCCAGGTCTTAGAATGGCCAAATGAAAGTCCACACCTGAATCCAATTGAGAATCTGTGGAAAGAACTGAAATCTGCTCTCCATCCAACCACACTGAGTCTGAGCTGTTCTGCAGGAAAAATGGGCAAATATTTCCGTCCCTCATTGTGAAAAACGTATCTACCCCGAGCGACTTGCAGCTGTAAATGGAGCAACCATATTAACTCAAGGGGCTAAATCATTTGGCACACCAAATTTTTAAGTCTTTTATTTGTAGGAAAGATTTAAAATATACAGTAAATTTTGTTCCACTTCATGATTGAGTTCAACTTGATGTTTATTCACAGAAATTACAATAATATATCTTTATCTTTGAAGCCTGAAATGTGGCAAAAGGTTGACACGTCCAAGGAGGCTAAATACTTTTGCAAGATACTGTAGACCTGTCAATGTTTTAAAGGAACTTAAGTTTTAGCAAAAATTCAGTCGAGAAGACTCTTATCAGCTTCACCTGAACATTGTTCAGCTCCAGCCAATCAGCTCGGGGACACACCTTCTCCAAAGCCAATCATATTTCAAGCTCCCCTGCAATTAGCTCCTGGGCCAGCTTCTTTCTCCCCCACACAAGCAAACTTTCACCCACTTTCACCCCCGTCACTCTCAGTCCCACTCACCCACTGGCTTTATTCCACCACCAGTGCCCAGGTCCTGGGGGGTGAGGATGGGGGGTTACTCTAATCCTTTTCTAAGTCACTCTTCTAAGCGTACGTTGATTGAAAGCATCAAAGTCTTCTGCCGGGCCCCGAGCGCCAAATAACTTATTGCATTTATGTCTTTATCTGCTTTTGTTTTCTCTCCACTGTCGGTACAAGCATGCTCTCTGTGAGGGATTTTAGAAACATTTTGAACAATCTAAATGGGTTACCTGTAAAAATAAATCGAATTAAATAACTCCTAATTACAGCATTTATCTGTGTGACTCTCCCCGGGTTGAAGTATAGTCGGTCCACTTTTGGTTTGCCATAAACCCATTGTGTGGCAAGGCACTTCCTGTCCATTGTTGTGTATGGTGGAGGATCCGTCATTCTGTGGGCTTGTTTGTCTTCTAGGCTGAATAAACCAGATTTATATTTCAGATTTCAGCATTCCACTCCAGCAAACTGCTCATCCCTAATTTCTTTTTCAGGAGAATAAAGAGTCAACACAAAAATCATACAACCTGTGAGGGTTAGTTAAAGAGTCAGGTAATATTGAGCTGCATTAATTTTGAAGCTGTATTCTTTAGGAATAAATAAACCAGTTCCATGTTTTTTTAAAAGATCCCATTTTATTTGTGGATATGAATTTTGGGAAGCAGTTTACAACCTTATCTCAACATGCAGTGACCATAAAAACACATCACAAAGATGTAAAAAAGGTGGAGGAATACAACGAGAGCACGCTGGTTGGCAGTCATGTTTTCACAGTGATTGATAGCATAACGGTTTCTACAAATCACTCAGAAAATTCAGTTTAGGGCTGTGTTCTGACACAGAACAATCAAGCTTATATATTTATATATAAAAACACAATCTGAGGGAATAAATCAAATGTACAAATAAAATCCAAACTGATGTGGATTTTTTTTTTTAAAGCTGGTTTATGCGTGTATGGCTGCGGTCCACAGAGCAGCCGTAAAACCAGCCGGGACGTCGTTCCCACCGAGTGTTAGCACGATAAAATTGCAGGAAGGGAAACTCATCCAGAGGAAGCGCTGTACCGTTTGAAGAGCTCTCAGAAAAATCCCAACCAGCAAATGCCTGAGAGCGGAATCCAGGTTACCTCTCGTACCGAGCAGGAGCTCAGCATACCAGAGCACCAGCTGTACCGATGAGCCGTCAGAGTCTCGTTTAGGAGCAAAACCCGTTACACAGAACTAATTTACATGGTTTTACTACGTAACAAAAACTGTAGAAAACCTGTTCTGTGAGCATTGTTCAGTCGCACGTAAATGATGAGTCATACGGTGGAGGAGAGCTTTCCGTTGTTCCAGTCCTCTGGGGGGAGGAGGAGATGCTTTGAAAGCAAATGACACAGCAAATAGAAAACAAACCTTTTTACTCCTCTATGATGTAAAAAGGTTATAAAAAAAAAAAAAAAGCAAAAATAAACTGTACAAAGTTAAATTCTCAGGCGAGAATCTGCTATTGCATCAGATAAGGCACATTTTTATACGTGTTCCAAGTGAGTAAAGTCCAACCGCCATTCGTGTTTGATTTTTTTTCTTCCTTTCTTTTCTGTCCTGAACCTTTGTTTACATAATTACGCCCGTTTTACACGTAGGCACCCAGCGCTGCGTGAAACTCTGTGAGGCACTGAACGAGCTGCTGGAACTTGGGCCTCTCCTCTGGGTCCAAAGCCCAGCAACAAGCCATCACAGCAAACCTGCGGAAAAAAAAGATAAAACATGTCAGAAAACTATGGATTCATACCTGAATTTTCTGCAATACAATTTGAACAGAAAGTAAAACAAGAGGCTAGCATGGCAGCAGACAGATCTCTGCTGTGTTAAAAAAATATGTGAGTTTGATTCATCACAACATTGGGAACCTTATTCTGGTCCCGATGCTACTTCATGTTACCCCAACATCTGTTAAAAGTAGAGCTGAAACAATCAGATTAATCATGATTGATTATTGAAATAATAATCAACTAATTTAGTGATGGATTAATCGTTAACTGGAGTAAAGAGACTGTAAAACGGGTCTTTAGCTGATAGAGCAACCCATCCTGAGCAGCAATTACAACAAAATGGTACAAAAATATGTAAAAATGCTGAATTTAAGGTAAAAAAATGTTTGCCCGTTAATATGTTCTATCCAGAACTCCTCAAGTTTTAGTTTCACCTGCTTTAATTAATGAATCTTTTGCTATCCAATTATTGATCATTAGTTGCAGCCCTAGTTAAAAGGTTTAAGAACAGATTTGGTTATCTTAACAGATTCTGTTGCAAGAAACCTACAGATTCTATTAGATGCGTTCAACATAAGATTGATTTCTCTCCCCCTATTTTTCCAAGTTATAGCGTAGCAGAAGTTTGCTTTCTGAGTCAACACAGCTCCCATTCTTTGGGTGCATGTCTCTACCTGCTTTGCACATTTAGAAACTACATTTCAGATTTTTTTTTAGTGCAAATAACTCAGTAGCTCAATATTCATGCAACAGATACTTATTTGGATTTAGAGTGCGCTTTCATGGTAGAAAAACAGCAAACACAACTTCCTTTTTGGCCCACTTTTGGAGAACACAATATATATCCATCATCATGAAGCTGTGAATCTCTGTTGCTCCCCCAGAGTTACCCTTTTTTTCTCTTCCAGCTTTTAAAATAAGCTGGACATTTAGAGCTCATACCATCCGTCTGCTGTAATGTTCTCAACCAGACCTCTGGGAAACAACTGAATTTATGCTAATAAATTAAAATAATTACTTTATTCACCTAATAGTTGTTTTTTTATTTAGGAATAGTAAATGAGACTGAATAATTAATCATAACTTTCCTTCCAGTTCACAACTCTGCTCAACTTTTTGTTGATCTCATTAATTAAACCTCAGCTAAAGTGGTTAAATTTAGTAGAAACGTGAACAAACACGATCACTTCACGAGGCACAAAGTTTGAACTCTCCCTTGTTTTAATCAGCCATCCAACACAATTATAACATTCTGGTGATCAGTGACTGGGCGCTGCATTTTATTTAGCCGCGAAAAACTTTGTTCTCCTCCAGTGGGAAGCTGGTGACCTCGCCAGAGTTTCCGTGTGAGGAAACAACCTGCCGTAAATAACAGTCCGTAAATAACAATACAGCAGTGAGAAAATGATGGCGGTGGGCGAAGGCTGCTCTTTATACTTGACAGTTGCAGGATGTTGATAAGGGTTATGTCGCTGGCAGAAGCTGAACGTTTCAGTTTAATCCAGCCCCGCTGTTACATAAACACCGTTTGATCAGGAGCACACTTCTTTTGTCAAAAGCTTGTAAGAACAAGTCTGGCTGCAGCTCAATAGACAAACACACGCTTCACTGCAGGTGTCTGCCAGCTGATGTTTATGTGTTTATGGGAGATCCTCCAACCTGAAGTTATTTCCTGGGTTTCTGTGAGTAGCTGGACTATTTAACAAACCAGAGGAGAGTAAACATCTGCTGCTCAGTTCTGGGAACAATTTCGTGCCCCAGAAATGTTTAGCTGATTGACGTTAGTGGCATCGCCTGCGTAATAATGCGTAGGTCCTGCTTGTTCTCTTGTTGAGACACAGCATGCGGAGGGTTCACTGAGGAATCTGACACCATGATGTCGATCATTTCAGATTTAAACTAGAACCAGTATGAATCAGAGGCCAGAATGAGGCTGAGGCACTTTATTAGGAAAACTCATCGCAAAACAGCTGAGTTTGAATAGCGTGGATAAAGGAAGTAAGAATTTGAGGTAAAAAGAAAACTAATAATGTGTGTCACTGCGGTTTGGGGTTAATCTGAATCAATTTTATACATCATAGATCACTTTAAAGCTAGGGCTACATTTTAAATTTTCTAGCAAACCTTTTCTTTAGTTAAATAAAATTTCAGTCTCAGCATATTAAAAACTAAAAAAGCTTTAACATAGGGAAAGATAGAAATAATAAGTGGCTACATAGAACTGATCATGGCGCACAGCTATACCCAATAAAAAATATCTTAAAACAAACAAAATAGGGTATGATCATAGAACATTCTCTATTTAAATATAATGTAATATTAAAATGTACCTTATTTTGAAAAGAAAAAAAAAAAGAAAATACATTTTGCTGCAAAGCTGGTTAGCATGTGATGCTAACTGGTAGCGCTGCTCTCAGTAGTCTAGACACCCCAGTCCAGTGTTGCCAACTTATTGCAAACTATTTTTCTCTTTGACTTTAGCGAGTTTAGCGACTAAGGAGCGATCATGCTAACGTTTTGATAGCAGCGAGGAGCACCGTTTCACAGGCATCAGAAAAGTCGTTTTGTCAAAAAAGCAAACAGATCTGCTCTGTTTACACACTGCTAATGTATTTTGCGTTCACAAAGCTGCAGAACATTTTACCCTGGATTACAAAGCAGGATATAAATATACTTTTATTCAATCCTTGTTTTTTTCTCTCTAACTGTTGCCAATTACCTGACTACTACACAGCTTGAATGACTTCTTCACCTCATCTGATTACTGTTTTTTTGGTAAACTTAGATGGATGCATTATGGATTCCATAAAAATCCATACATTATATCATAAAGTATGTTGACTTCCAATGTCATTTTAACAACAGTGACATAGTTAATTATTATCGTTTGGTTTAGGATACCTATGACCCAGTTAGCCCACCAACACAGATAAAAATTAATCCTAGAGGAAACCCTGAAGGTCATTGAGACTGTTGTATGGAAAATTGTTCCTGCCAAAAACCAAGAGCACACATTTTCAGTTTGAGAGCAGGATTTCCTCTATTTGCACTCTGCTTTTTTCTCAAATATTTGTTTCTGCTCTCAGATTTAATGCTTCTTCCAGACATTTTTTCCTTTCGTTTTCTTCATTCTTCTCGCACACAAACCACTTATACTTTGTAGTCGTTACTTTGCAGGTAACGACTGAAAAAAAAAAAAAAACGCACAGTGTACACCCAGCTAAAAAGACTGAAAATGGTGCGGACAGTGCTTCAAATATACACCAACAATCCTGAACTGCATTGGCATCACAATAAGAAAATAAATACCTCATGAACAATAAACTGATAGAAAAAGAGCATCTAGATGGAAAAACACATCAGCTGTTAATATCAGCCCAGTTTTTTCTGACGTGACCCGATACTGATATAAATGCTAATATTGAGAGCATCCTTACTTCGTTTCATCTTTTTTAATGGATGCAAATAATATAATAAAAAGTTTAAATAAAATATTAAACTGAATAGGTTTTTTTTCAAGCTTATGGGAAAACTGGATTTTTAATTTTCATTTTAAGTTTGTTTTCTAGTTTGTCAGATTATAAGGTTAACATTTTATATTTCTACTTTTCTAGAAATCTCTTCTACTTTTGTAGAAATTGATTATCACAGAACCAGAACTAAACATGGAGAAGCAGCATTTAGTTCCTATGCTCCACTTATCTGAAACAAACTTCCAGAAAACTGTAAAAGTGCGGAAAGCCTGAGTTCCTTTGAGTTCCTAAAAAGGATTGCCTTCGACTGTTTTAGTTAAACAGTTCAACTGAAACATTTCTTTAGTCCAACTGTTTAGTCCAACTGTCTTTTTTGTTTCTGAATTTTTATTAAAGTTTTTTTTCCTACTTGCTTTGATTCGGTTTTATTTTCCTATATTTTAAATCATGTAAAGCACTTTGCATTACCTTTGTACCGATTGTGCTATACAAATAAATTTGCCTTGCATTTTACTTTGTAAATATCAAATCATATTGACCCCTTTCTGACTCCAAAGACATCTACATGAAAGATTTGACATCCACATCTAAAACAGGGCGGTACCTAACATCACTATCACTAATGCATCGTGGTACAAGCTGAGAGACAAACACTGACCCAATTAACCATGTGATCTAAAAAAAAAACACATTATTCATCAGAGCGGACCGCCTGCGTCCACAGCTGTTTAGTTATTGGTCCTGTAAACTCTTCACCCCAGATGAGCCAAAGTGTTTGATCTGGTGCCTTATAATCCCCCCCAAACTCTTACAACCAGTTTATGGATCAGCAAACTATGGACTCACAGCTCGTCTGGACAGTTGATGGGCTGTGCTATTCTGTAGCCGTCTTTCAGGTAGGCAGACATCTCGAAAGGGTCGATGTCGACGTAGGGGGTCTGCCCCAAAGTCATGAGCTCCCACAGCGTCACTCCAAAGGCCCACTGTGAACACAAAGCACATCAACGGTTACACAACTGTTTACCACCCGTCTTTCTACAGTCAACACAAGCTGTTGGCATCCATATGTTTTCTTTTTACAGGATAAACATCACCAGCGTTTGTTTAACGAATGAGGAAAACTATTGCTGCCCATTTGTTTTTTAAATGTGCCACGGTCATCGTGAACAATGCGAGGAAGTTATGTCAAAAAGTACTTGAAATATAAATCACCACAGCCAGTTTTTGTTAAGAGGCCGGAAGAATAAACTGTGATTGTGGCTGTTATGAGAGCAGACGTGTGATGCGTTCAGGGTCTTTAGTCGGTGGAAGTCTGCTGCAACTGTTGCTCCTCATGATGAGCTTTGAAGAGAAAACATATAGAAGAGGTGTGCGGGCCGATGCCAACGTAGCTGGAGGGAAGAGCGGATATCTACAGGACAGGGAGGGGCTGCTGCTGACACAGCAGGACTCATTAGGATTACTCACATGCATGGATCGAGTGAAATATCATTTCATGGGTGATTTTAATGAAGGATTAGCGTCACAAAATAGTTTAAAGCTAAATAAAGCAGGTTCTGCAAAGATATAGGTTCTCTAAAGTTTTACCTTATACCGTAATTCAATGAGAGGTAAGTTAACTGTGCATTAAATAGTTCAATGACTTCTTTCATGAAACATTTAATTATGTTTTAAATTAGTATTTGGAAGAGAAATTTATTTAATGGGATGTTTATTTACATTCTTTTAAGTTATATATCTATATTATTTCAACCAGTTCATTTCAGGCTGTGTTTCTTGTGTCACGCCTTGTTTACACAACTTTTAAAACTGAAATGTTTTGTAGAGTTTCTACCAGTGTTGCACCGATGCCATTTTTTGGCCCAGATACCGATACCCGATACCTGGCTTTGCAGTATAGGCCGATACCGATACCATCTGTTTGAAATTGATGTGTGTGTATAGAGAACTGCATACTACTTGGATGTAAAATAATTGCCATCATGGCTTTGTGAAGCTGCTGCCTACCTTTGTGAAGCAGGAAAAAGACTAATACAAAGTGTATCCAGTAGAACTTTTTTTGCCTACCTGGAATGGGTGACAATAGTTGAATAAACTTTTGGCTCTCAAAATGGTATCGGTGCTCTATTTGTTGTTAGCAACAAATAGAGCAACACTAGTTTCTACTGTTCTCTCACCCAGTGATGATTGTTTTCTTAAAGATTGGGTTTCACTATTATTATTAATAAACACCCCGGTCTCAGTAGTTATGAACACAGTCATCGCCTATGCTCAGTGTGACTAAGTGATTGCGTGTTTTTGCACAGTTGCATGTTTTTGAATCCCCCACAGCAATAATATTGCGATAGCGACGCCTTAATATGGGAGCAGTCAAAAAGACTTGCACGCAAATTGTGTCTATCTTTTGTGTCTTGTGCACTAAAGCTATAATTTAAATGTTGGTGGAAAAACGAACAAAATGGAAAGACAATCTTGTTAAAATTGATCCTCTGTGGTTTAAAGCCGGGCTTACACTGTGCCATTTTTTTTAATCCTTTTCGGGGCGACTCTCCAGTCATGCTAGAATTTTCCGATTGACCCAACTTTCAGCCCGACCGTGCGTTGCGTAGTGTATAGGGGGTAACGAGGGGCGTTCAGCCTCTCACAACCACCTTCCGATCAGGAATCATGAGGTCGGGAGAAAATCAAACATGTTTGTGGGCAGATCGCTCTGTGCGAAAACAGGGATTCTTCTTCTTCTTCCTCTCAGATGAAAACACAGAAGCATGGCGGGGGTGTGAGTGAAATAGAGATCTTTCTGTAAAATTGACAGAGCATAATAGCCACATTCGCTCAGCCATGTCTTTGTCATCTTACATTGTGGCCTTTTCTTTTTAGGGCTTTCAGCATAAAATTGCACAAATTGCCAAGGCAGCACGTTTCACTCTAGTAAGCTTCATGTTCCTCATCTACTGGTTTGGCTTGCGGATAGAGGAGCCAGAGTAGCGTCATTTCACTGCAAAGCTGAGGCCGACGTGGTTTTTAGACGTACAATGTTAGCAGGTAGATTGCATCAGAGTGTCGTGCTGCACATCGTGAGCTGTGAACTCACACTGTACAAGAAACCCTGCGGTTTCATCGTACGGTGAATGCCCAGCTTCAATGAGGCTTTAGAGGAACTTTTGACCCAAATATTAGCTTAATTTGAGACGTATTCAGAGATTTTTCAGGTCAATATGAAGCCCTTGGTCTGCATTGATGCTCCATGCAGGCTGCTCTTTCAAAAAGTCTCCCATCTAAGAGTCACAGCGCTGCTTTACAGCAGCCTAAAATCCCCCTAACACTGGAGCTAACTAAGCTAAGAGTGTTTGTTAGGCAACATAACTGACCTAACCCTAACCTGATCAGACATCTTTTTGGTTCTCTGATGTGGGACTTAATCTGGAGAGGCAAATCTAACCTTGAATTGGTAAACAGCCTCATGAGTTCCCTGCTGGTCCAAAGTGGTCAGCTTTCAAAGTCCAAAAGAGAGTTGGAAAGCTGTTTAATTTTGAGACAGTGCTGTGTTAAGAGGTCTAGATCCCCTAGTGGCTATAAAATACACAGCATTCAAATCAAAGTTCAATACATTTTTTTTTTAGAGTTGCTTTTAGCTGTTAAAATTTTAACTGAGGTATCAATGGTTTAAGTTTATGGTCCAACTGTTTTATTTGCTTTGATACCTGCTTTTATCTTTACTTCCTCTCCTTCTTTTTATTGTTTACCTCACATAAAGCACTTTGAATTGTCTTTGTACTAATTTGCTCTACATAAATAAACGTGCCTTGCCTTGATTTGCTTTGGATTTTGGAAATCCATCATTTGAAACGAGGTTCTGCATTCTGTGGGAAATTCAAACAGATTTCTTTAGCCGAGCTACTTGTGCCAAATGCTGATGGATGATGATAAAACAATTTAAACTAGAGATGTGTCCTTCCTTTTTAACAACCAGTTCTGATACTTGAATTAAGATTTCTGATACCAGAGCTCTGTGTGCTTCAATGTTCTCATCATTACTGTTGACCATAAACTAATCTCTACTAGCAGGTTTATGCATAAATGTATACATTTATACAGCAAAAGGCAACTTTAGATTAGAATAAGGTCTGAAAAGGAGGTTGTAGAAACAGTAATTAGTATTAACAGGGTAAAACCTATGCAGAAAACCATTATACAGCTGCAAGAGTTCAAACTGAACATATTTATTAACTCAAAGACAGATGCCTATAAAGGGGTAAACTTTCCTGCTGTTTGCAAAATTGTTAAGCTAACTTAAATTCATCATAAATAATATAGATCTGTTATTATGGCCTACTTTCCCCATGAATGATCCACAATTTTCTTTAAAACAGGGACGGACACGGATAATATTGGATTGGTGAATCTCTGCTTTAAACTTTAGCTTTTTAAATATCGGTTTTTAAAAAAAAAAAAATGTTTTGTGTTAGAATTTTTTTTTTTAATCCAGGCTACTCTCTCACACATGGTGTTAAGTTAAGTCTATTTCTTATTAAGGCTGAAATAATCGGATTAATTGATTATTGAAACAATCATCACCTAAATTAGTAATTCATTAATCATTAACTGAAAAATACAGATTCTATCACATGCAATTAGCTGAAAGAGCGACAGCAGCAGAGCAATAATTATTACAAAATTGTGAATACATATATATTCATTTATTCATATAATTTTAGCATTTAATATAAACTGTTTTTGCAGTGAAGATTAGTTTTAAATTCTGTTTAAATTCTTTAAGTCAACTTTTGCGATCTGATTTTCAAAAATCAATAAAAAAAAAAAAAAGAACCGACAGACGAATTGGTTAGCAAATGAATCATTCTTGTACACATAATGGTAGATGGCAACATGAAGGTAAGGAAACAATGCTGGGGATTCTGTTGATTAGAGCTCCAGAAGACATGGCAGAAACCAGAGATCTAGAGAGTAACATTTAAACTATGAACTTTGAGAAAAAAAGTGAGTTCAGCTTTCTCTTCGGACTGTGATTGGACAGGAAAGCTCTTCAAACATCAGGAGTCACAGCGTGGAGAGCAGGACGATGATGAACAGGAAACATCCGAGCTTAAAGCCACTGCTAACATTTCCAGCAAGTTATCAACAGTGCGACAGTAACTCTTTCATCGCATCCATCTTCAAATGTAGTGTGGGAAAAGGCAAGGCTAAAGGTATGGAGTATTTATATGAGGAACAGTGATGCAGAGGGACTTGTCGGGACTTTCCAGGAAGCTAAGCTGCTTGGTGACGATGGGCCTCTATAAACCATGAGAGGTATGGAGCAGCATGACCATAAGAGGAATGCTGAGCGACACAGGCAAACGTCTCTGAGGATCCGTAAGTAAAACCTCCAACTTGCTATCTTTAGACAGATAGGAGGGCAGAACCAGTAATCCACGGTGGTCTGTTCTTCACCTCCCCTTCCCTTTGAAGCCATGAGCAACTATCAAAGAATGCCCAGAACACAATTGGTACTGTCTGCTGGATGACCTTTGGGGCGTCAGGCTGAAAACAAGCTAAGCTGAGGGACGGGAAACTCTTCACCTGCCGCTGGGTTTCTTACCACATCGCTGGCGCTGGAGAAGTCGTTGTTGAGCAAGCTTTCCAGGGCCATCCAGCGGACAGGGCGGTTCTCGTTATCCCCCAGGCAGTGGTAATCCATCGGAAATAGATCTCGAGCGAGGGCGTTGTCTGTAATCTTCACCTGCATGTTGTCGTCAATGCTGTCAGGAGGACAAGGCAAAGATCACACACCCACCCCCAGTGGAACAAATTATAAGTCGGTGAGGACGTTTGGTGCCAGGCCGGAGGCACTTACACACAGTTCCTAGCAGCGAGGTCTTTGTGGATGACCTCCCTGCGAGCCAGGTAGCTCATTCCACACGCGATCTGGATGGCCATGTAAACCAGGTCCTGCTGAGAGATTGCCTGAAAGGAAATGAGAGAAACGCAGCGACAATGAGGAGCTGAGAGGGAGACGGGAAACCAATGGGACTTTAATGTGGTGAAATACATCATCTGTGTCAAACTTTATTTCCTCTCAAACAAACTCAGTGGCACAAGTAAAAAAAAGGCTTTAGAAGATAACATCAGCATATCTTGGTTATCACAGCTTTTACAATTTACTTTGATCAACAGCGAGGATGAACTCTGCAGGTTTATATCTTAGTTAGCTTTGAAAATCAGTGATCTGTTTGCAGTTTCCTTTAGAATCGACATTACACGGTCACTATAGTATTTCATAGGTTTGTTTAAAATGTCCTTAAAAGATGCAATTTTAAGCTTGGATAGGTAGATACATATTTATTTATTTATAATAAATAATTATGACCATCTGAGTAATCTCACTTTAGTGACTTTAACCAGTGGTGAGAAAGGCTTTTACACCACTGATTCACACTAATCAGAAACCAACCAAACTGTTGAAATCTTTCCTTTTTCTAGCTCTGATGTTTCAGAGAAGTTGCATAAGTTGCTTTTTTAGGTGGGTGTTGAAAAATGACACTGTTTTCAAATTAAGTAGGAGTTATGATGGCATCACATATCCAAGAGTGTTTATATTTTCATCAAACACAATTAAATTAATCTCGTCTTCGGATCATGTTGAAAGGCAGATAGGATTTTTCTGACTGACGTCCAATCAGAAGACAGAAAAGACTTTGTTGAAACCAAAAGTCTCACCACAAATCCATCTTGAAAGATTCCCTCCAATATGTCTGTCTCATAACATCCAGCGAGTCGAACCAATGACATGCCAGCAGGGTTTTTTGGGGCGGGAAATGTAGGAATGACAACAGGCAGAAGGGCCGTGCCGGGGCTATACAAACATGGCTACGCTGGACGACTCACCTGTTGATACCGCAATTGACTCAGTTTTATCTAAAATAGCGACAATTTCTAGTTTAAAAAAGGATTAAAGAGAAGCTCTTTGTGCATTTGTAGATAGGAAAGATGTCGGCCCTTTTCTTCTGACAGGATTTTGAAAAGGTTTGATTTATCAGCTTACTCTGCTAGATGTGAAAACACTGAAGAAGCTGCAGGCGAATCCTATTATGATCATCGTGTCTCCGTTGGCAGCTCTCATGGATGACCATGTCACCCAATCGAAGTATTGTATTAAATGTCCCTCCTTTTCACGGACAGACTGAACGGCAGCCATCCCAGATTGATAACGTAGAACTTAACTCAGTTCTACACATATCAATCTGGCAAATGCCAGGTTAGATTAACAGGCTTTTAGTGAGCTACAATCAACAGAATCAGTTATATGGAAGCATGGAAACCTTTAAAACCTGCAGGACAGCAGCCCCTTGAGGTCCGACATCAGACAATCCTGGTTTAGAATGATTTCAGGCCACAGTGGAATTAAAAAGTCTTTTTTTGCATCTATAAGTGATCACTCAGCCTTAAAATTGCAAACAATCTACTGCAGATTTCAAGCTCCATAATTTATGTTGACATTAAACCCTCCACAATGTATCTGTCTCCCAGCGAGCCAAAAGCACAAAATGAAAGGAGAGGTCACAGATGTTCTTACCTGAAACCTCACAAAGAGCTTTTGATTCATGCAAACAGATGGCAAGCTTCGTCTTGTGCTTGTGAAACGTTTGCCTAATCACTATCATGGAGTTGATTGAGCGGTCGGATCCGGGCTGAACCTTAGCTAACCAGATCAAAGCCTTGCAGGTTTCACTGTACAAAAGTCTGATTGTCTTTACAAACAGTAAAAATCTTCGCCCCGAGGACAGGCTTTATGGCTGTATAAACAGTCTGTGTGATAAACGGTGTGAACAGTAGTTACTGTAGGTGCTATTTATCTGGGGATTGCTGCTGAAACACAAACCACTTTTCTTTGACACAAATATGGAACCTGAGATGTTTTCTAATTGAGGAGCTTTATTCTAATATGGTTGTTAAATGCCTCACTGCAGCACCACGCATGACTTGTTTTTACTTGAGCACTTTATCCACACCTCACAGCCTCACCTGAGGGTTGTTAGCCTCGGCTAGCTTGCACTGACGCAGGAACAGCTTAAGATTGCCCCATGCCATGAAGGGCAGCAGCACCATGGGCTTCTCTCCCTCCTCTGTGCACACGTGACAAATGGGCAGCAGGTTTCTAGAGAAAGGCAGAGGCAGGGAAACGGGGTCAGCGAATAACTCAGCAGATTTACTGTTTGTGAAGGAGCTGCGGTTGAAAAGCACGTCACCCGCTGAGGTCATCTCAAAGCATTCAGGAGGAAGTGTTGGTTGAATTTCTGAAAGTGCCGACCACATTATTAGCAGGAAGCACATAGTCACCATTTTGAAGTAAAAACACAAAAAAGGAGCACCTCATGAGGCTAATTAAGAAAGAAAAGCTGCACGTGCAACTTTAGCATTTATGTTTTGCAGCTTTTTTATTTTCATTAACATACTGTACATTATGTCAAAGTGTGAGGAAAAGGTGAACAATCCAAACTCTTCTAACCCCAACAAGAGGGTGCGGCGTGTAGAAGCTGTTGTTTCTCCAGCGGTTTTGAAACAAAGCTGACCAAAGGAGGGGAAATGCTAGAAAACAAAATGTTCTGGTTGATATTAAAACTCTAGTTTTACTGCTGTTGGGAGTTATAATAGTTTATTTTTTTTATGCTTATTGCAGACAGTAACCACAAGTCTACAAATTCTCTAAGATGTCTTTTTTCCCCCAGCCTTGTTTATTAATCTTTCTTCAAAAAAGTTGTCACGATAGTCTTTGCAGAAACACCTACTTCAGGCTGCCCCTTCTTTATAACTTTGCTTCTGTTCTACAAGAATTGAGGATATGAATTCATGCGCTGATCTCTTAAGATCCAGCCAAAGGATTTTATCAGGCTGATGTATGGACAGGACTGTCTGATGTTGCCAATCCCTGGCACTCAGATAGATGCCCTCTAATTGATACCTGCCTCTGTTTGCATCAAATGAGCCCATATCATCATTCTTCCTCAACTGTGCTCGACTTAATGCTCCTAGTCTTCAAACACTGTTGGCTCGAAGACCTTTGGTTAATTCTGTTGCAACTTTTTGAATTAAAGTTGGATGTTTTCATATTGTTTTTAAAGAGAAATTTCAAATTTCAGCTGTTCTGTATTTTTTTTTATAATTAACAATAGGGATGGGACGATTTATGAAAACCGTCAGAATCGTTCGGTTCGATTGTCTCGGTTCGGTACATGCGCTGCTCCTTTTTCTCATAGGCGAAGCGATTACACTCCAGAGCAGAGGGTGGCGGTACTGCGACCAAAGCCAACCACCAGTAGTAAACAAGAAGAAGAAGAAGAAGTGAAGCAGCTTAGCAGGGAAAAAAATCAGTTGTTGTGGAGAATTGTGTGGGTATGGCGAGTGGGAAAGAACAGGAGTTGGAAGACGCGCCAGCAGCACTTTATAGGTCTGCTGTATGGGAGCGCTTTCCATTTAGAGTGACCTATGATGACGGCGGAAAAAGAAAGTTGTGGATAAAAGTGCAACAGTGTGCGAGCATTGTGCAACACGTTTTGTTTATGCTAACAGCAACATGACCAACATGTCATGCTAACCCCGAAATCCCTAATACTCCATCAGCAACCTCCACTCCGCCCCGCTGCGCTTCAGACCGCCTGCTCAAAGCAAAGCCTACAGCCCCCGCTGTGGCTCCCGTCCGCTCCCCTCTGAGTCCCTTGGAGATGGTAGAGAGCATGCGCGAGATGATTAAATGCAAAGCAGCAAAACATACGGAAATGATCCAGGGTTTCTGCGGATCATTTAAAATAATTTCAATCCATTTTTTTGGGGGGGATTTTTTCATTAATCCCATACATTTTTATGGGATTTCGGTGTAACAATCAACATATACCGAATCGAACCGAACCGAAAGCCGTGACCAGAAACCGTGAATCGAACCGAACCGTGGATTTTGTGAACCGTTCCACCCCTAATTAACAATCAAAAAGATTCAGCTTGGCACCTGATGTCAGCCAATGCATCTTGTTCGTTAGAAATCTACTACTTACTACAAAAAAAAAACAACCGCCTAAAATATTTTCTGCTTAAAAATACAAATACAAATAGCTTTAAAAAGACATTAACCTCTCTAGGTAGCTTTCATAAGGTCATTAGTGAGTCTTTCTCTAAAAAAGAGGTGCTTAGAAAGTAATGATGATTGAGATTAGACATTTTTAGACATGATTTAGTTTCACTCAATACTTTTTTTTTTTTTTTTTTTTTTGACCAAACGTTTCATAGCCTTGTGCTGCGCTGGTGGCCAACCACCTCGCCAAGTCATACAGTGGGTAAATTCTAGCTTTGTAGGCCTTTGTTTTTTTAAGCATTATCAGTTATTTGTGAATAAAATTGCAAAAAGCAAATGCAGCTAGGGGAAGCTAATAGCCATTCTGACAATCATTGCTGCTACTTTACCTCCTAAATCCGATAGAAGATTGGATAGAATTTTACCCTCAACTTTGCTATATCATCATTTAAAAAGTGTTTAACAGGCATTAAGTGATGCTGAATTCACCTAAATACTAGCGATCAACTGATATGGATTATTTTGACATCAGTATAACCGATCGCCAGTATGTTGGTGGCAGATTTTTGGGGGCTAATTTTAAAGGCAGATTTTTCTTTCTCTATTTATGGTGAAAAGGACACATTTGTTATGCAACACACTTTCAACTAAGACAAAACATTCACAATGGATATCATACGAAGTGAGCAGTAATGCATGGCCCCTAAATGCGCCAATGTATCGCCTAAACATGTGCGTATGTGCCCATGGAAGAAAAATAATGCAAATATCGGCTCAAAAATTTGGTCAACCTCTATCAAATACATCACTGTTGTCAATGTGATTGGTTTCTTTTTTTTTCTTTTACACAATTTTTTCCCCCTTAATTGAGAAAGATCAATAAACCTCAACCAACTGCTTCTACTTACCTATGATGAAGTCCTCTAAGTTTACAACTCTCAGTCAGCATCATGGTCACCTGCACCTCTGAGGCTTGATCTGAGAATAAAAATAAAAGTGACTTAAACACAGACTTGGATGAGTGAAAAAGGCCTTTATTCTTTATCAGTCTGTCATCCAGATCTCCTCTCTCCCAACAGTCATCTGCAGAGGGAAACTGCAGAGGAAAACGGACCTGTGCCAGTTTTTAATCAGTGTCCGCAGCCTTGCAATCATCTGGTACTTATGGAAACGGCTATTGTTCTTTTCCCACGAGGCATATGAGACGGAAGCAAAGATTTCTAACAAAGCCATAACTGGCATTGAAGATATTGTTCATAGAACGGTATCCACCCCGCTCTGAGTAAACATGAGAGAAAGGAGAGGTCAAAGGGAAGCTGGCAGCGAGAGCCGACACATGCCGCTGTTAAACTGGACGTAGCACACACTGTCGCTATTTCAGATTCGTGCAAACCAGCTGCACGAAAACGACTTCTGAGTCATTCTGTGGGCTTATTTATGGGAACAGGAACCATAAATGTTCATCTGCTGAAGCCATTTGATCTGTGGTCATTAAATCTGTCCCACTGGTTGTACAACCGATCCCAAAAATAAGGAAAGACACATTTCCACTTCCAGTAGCATGCGTTTACATTGACTTCTTATAACAGGAAATAATAGGGATGTGCAGACAAACAGTTGTAGGAAAATGCTTCATAGTAATTATTTCATTAGTGTATGTATAAAAACGCTGACTGAAATATCCACACTTCTGCAAATCAGGCACAATCTGACCACATAACTCCAAGAGGGCATCAACGGCTCATCCAGGAGGGCGTTAATCTAAAGCTCTGCAGACCTCTTTTACCTGAGCTAAACCTTGTGTTTGTGATTTTGGGTAAATGAATGGCAGCTATAAATCTCTGATGCCTTTGTTTTATGTTGAATCATAGCAATCAATAATTTATTTCTTATATACGTGAAAAAATGCTGATTAAAATATATCTATGCTAAAATATAACTGCCCGTTTGGAAATTAGCGCCATTCTGACCGTATCAATGAAAATCACAACAAGCACCCTGATGGACAAAAGTCAACCCTAAAAGCTTCTGCATATCAAACCGAGTAGTTCGGCTGACCTTCACTGTCACGATGAAAGATGCCAGAAGACGGCAGCAGCTTTCTGCTGTATTAAGTATCTACTTTCCCATGTAAAGTTTCGCTGTTCCTAGTGAACACAACTATCCCCACATCATGATGCTGCCACCACTATGTTTTACAGAGAACAGTGTTTCCAGATGATTAGCCTCCGCTAACAGCACTGAAGAAACTATGTGCATTCAGAAAAATTTTCTGTCCTCCGTCCAATCGCAATGAAGCCTTAAAGGGCAACACCGGTTTTTTTACATTTGGCTCTTGATTTTACGTTATTACATCATGTTCTACTCACCCATATGAGTTTTGTGTCATTTGGAACCGTTCTGAAGATATTCCATTAGGTTATATCCAAGTAACGTCTTCCTATGGGCAACGACTTGAAGGCACAAACTGAACTGTTCATAATTTATTCTTTATGGTACGCCAGCATTCATAACATGTAGGCGAATCACTGTCCCCCAGACATCTGATCTCGCTCTCCAAATGGAATTGAACATTCAGATTAGCTAGCCGAATGAATGGAAGGGGTAGAGCGTAGCTGCCTGGTGTAATGTACATTGGTTAAATAAAGTTTTTTTTTTTTTGGAAAAAAATAAAAAATCCTGTCCAAAGCGCAGATGACGGAGTATCTTCAGAACGGTTCCAAATGACACAAAACTTATATGGGTGAGTAGAACATGATGTAATAATGTAAAATCAAGAGCCAAATGTAAAAAAAAAAACGAAATTCCCCTTTAATATTCCATTAAGAAAAATTCACTTCCAGTAGAATTAGATATTTTACACAGAGGGGGCGGTATAATTCTATTTTACGTGAAAATATAGACAAAAAACGCTGGAAGTAATGATGCGTCTTTGCTTAAAGAACATAAAGAATAGGTCAGTGGCACTATAACATATTTGACTTAATTGGACAAACTATAGCTGTCAGCACATACCTTTCACCGTCTTTACAAAGACTTGTTTCTCCTTGGTAGGGTCCTTCTCATCTAGCAGCACTCCATGGAAGATGCGGCCAAATGTGCCTGATGGAGACAAAACCATAGGTTTTAAATGGGGGGGGGGCACATGAGGCGTCTCATTCATCTACTGAAAGGTCATCTGGCCCACTACCTGCCACGCCAGGCTGATCTGTGGACAGAAGTGGACGTGTCTCTGACTAAAACACTTTGTCTCTTTAGAGGGATTTAGGCAGCTTTGGCTTCTGTTGAAAACGTCTCTAAAAAGAGCAGCTCAGCCGACCTTTCATCACTTAGGAGGACTCAGAGATGTGTTGATTATCTTAATGTTGTTACAACACCGCCTTAGGGACAATTTCGGAGGTAAAATGCCATTATAGAACATAAACTATCTAGATAAACTTGGAAAACAAATGGGAGCTCCAGGGCAAACTGAGCCTTCGTTTCAACAGGAAAGTAGACGAAGCTTAAGAACAGGGTTAGGGTTGAAGTGTCTCCCTCCCCTCTTTACCCTCTTCATCAAGCCTGTCTGGACCTGCAGGCTCCTGAACTCCACACTCACTTAACCTCAGTGAAACAGAACCTTGTATGCCATGCATTTAGCCTTTCATAGTGCATAAAAAAAATAAAATCATCCTACATTATGTCACATAAGGGTCTCAAACATTCAGGTATTTTAGAAGGATTTCATTCATTAGACAAACACGAAAGGAGAAAAAAATACCAGTGAAGAAAAAGGAAACATTAAACCTTTTTCCTTTTGTTTATTTGAACAAATAGGAATCTGAAGTATGGCAGCCTGCGTATATGATACAGGATAATTAATGAAGCTTGTGGTTTTTATATGATAGAACAGAAATTAAAACTTTTTATATCTATACCTGTGAAATGTGCTGTGTGAGCACAGCAAAGTGACACCTGTGGAGAGATCAGCAAGGAGCAGTTATAGAAAGGTTAACATCTGGATTTAAGAATAACAATGGTAAGGAAATTCTTTATTTGTTCATTGCTTCTTAGCAGTGACTCTCAGCGCTTTCGTTTTCCTTTAAATGGTGCCACATTTGTAAGGATTTGGAGGTTAAAACTAAAGGGTACTATTTGGAGCTGCTTCATTTTCCATAACGATACATGTTGTAACTTATAGTTGCATTAGTATGGTCTTTCTTTGCGATAATCGGTTAACGCCGCTGCACAGACCCAATTGACGACTCCAATTTTTTATTTTGAAGCCTTCTTTAGTCTTTATAGACGAAGCAGAATGCCTCATCGGATGCCTCAGGTATTACCGTTAGCTTCACCATCAATGTTTCCCTGGGTAACATGTCTGCATCGAAGCGATCTCACTGCTGGCATCATGTCACTTGCAAAGACAACTAATGTCATTTATTTCTTCAATGTTTAAACAGCAGGACTGAAACAATTAATCTGATTAATCATGATTAATTGATTATTGAAATATCATCAACAAATTTAGTAATCAATTAATCGTTAACTGGAGTACAGAGACTCTGAACATAAAGCTTTAGCTGACAGAGGAACCCACTTAGTGCAGTAATTATACCAAAATTGTAAAAAAAAAAAAAAAAAAAAAAAAAATAGATAAACATTTTGCATTCAAGATTTAACAAAATATTTTTAGTTTGTCAATATGCTCTATCTAGAACTACTGAAAAGTAGTACTGTAAACGTTTTTTCTGTCACCTGGTTTAATTTTGTTAATAGTCTACTTTAAGGAACTTTTGGCTAACAGATTATTAACAGATTATTAAAAAAAAGAAAATCAACAAATTACTCAATTTGCAAAATAATTGTTAGTTGCAGCTCTATTAAACAGCATAAGGTTCTAACAATTTCAGCATCAGTGGAAAGTTTTATCAAACCTGAAATATTCCAGAACCACTTAGAGTCTATAAGGAAGGCGTCACACAGTTAGATGTGAATTTATTAAACACGGTGCTAATATACTTATTTGAAAATGCAAATATTGACACTAAATGAAGACATTTCTGGGAAACATAAGCATATCCAGGAATTTCTGAATTCAAAGCCACTGTAAAATACACACTGCATACTTCTCACATTACATCTTAGACATGATCACTAAAAAAACATACAAGGCAAAAACACACAGAGTCTACTGATGGATAGTGTTGTATACATGCCCAGTGTGGGCAAAACCGACAGAAAGGGAAGCATAGCGACACCATGAAAGGAGCGGCTGCGAGGAGGTCATCCTGATAGAGCTGAAGCAATAAACAGCTGTTATTGGGCTAAAACCAAGCTGAGGAAAGATGTTTGGAAACATAAACGTCAAAGTCCCCCCTCTCAGTGTGTAACATACCGTTCTTGGCAGGTTTTCACCCACGGTGATCTGATGAGGCACGCTCGTCCTCTGCAGAAAGCTACAACAGCTTTCCAGCTAATGTCAATACTTAGAGGGGTTATTAAAAGGACACGTACTACAGAGAACGTCTTTGTTGGTTATAGCCTCTGAAGGATGAAATAAATAATTTAATTGAAACTCCTTATAGAGTAGGTTAAAAATTTAACAAGAAAGCGCTGGTTTGTCTCCAAGGCCCTGAAAACTCCTGATTATTTAATCTAGCCCTGTGTGAGGAGGAAGCCCTTGGTAAATCATTGATAGGCACGAAGCGTTCTTTAGAAATTAGGATTAAGGAAGCCGTTTGAAGGCCTTTGCTATTAGATAAAACTAAGAATAGTTGTGAACATTATAAGGCCTGTCCAGCAGGCTGAAATTATTCCATTAAGGCATCAGGACTCATCCAGGAGGGCATCAAATAACCCAGAATATAATCTAAAGCACTGCAGAGACAAGCTGGGGTTTACAATACTCCTATTGTTCATTATTCTGGGTAAATTAATGGCATCTCTTGGACACCATCACTGACCCTTCACACCCTCACCATGGACTGTTCTCCTTGCTGCCCTCTGGGAAGAGGCTTCGCAGAATCCACTGCAGGTCCAGCAGATTCTGCAACAGCTTTTTCCCCACTGCCATGAGATTGCTGAACTCTAAATCAAGTCACAGACTCTGCATAACACTAACGCCAAACTAGAAAGAACTCAACTCAAAAAAAGTCATAGAAGAAAGATGTTCTACTGATACAAAGGATATTAATTGTTTAAAATTCTTCCTCCCAACTAGATTCCTAACACAGTGACACCACAGCCAAATCAGAGGTTGGGGAAGGAAGGGAAATCTGTTGCAGAGATGTTGGGAGGCCCCACTGTGCAAACCTGACGCCAAAGAGCAGAAAGTCCTGGAGAACTCAATGGCAAAGTGGACTGGGGGTTCTGGCCTGCCTGCAAGGTCCATTAAGGATAAAGACTTTGTGGATTTGATTAAACAAGCCGACAAAAGGCTCAATGTGTACAGAGTGATATATGTTAAAGAGAGAATCAGTGTGTGAAGTTCTATTCTGCACAGTGTTATATAAATAAAATAGAGAAAAAGAGAATCAGTGTGTGAAGTTCTATTCTGCACAGTGTTATATAAATAAAATAGAGAAATAGAGAAGCTGTGTGTGAAGAATTTTTATTCTGTATAATGTGATATATATGTTAAAAAAACACAGTGTGAAGAGAAGTTCTATTATTTACAGCATTGACTAAAATGACAAAAATGACAAAAAATGACTAAAATGACTAAAATTTGACTAAGAATAACATTGATCTTTGTCATTGTGACTAAGACTAAGACTAAATTTAAAAAAGCTGACGAAATGAACACTGGTGCAAAGGGGGGAATGTCAACTCTGGAGAAATGGGACACACAAGCACCTGAATGCATCAACAGGTGTGCAACTGAGGAACGAATACTGGGAATACTGGGACACGGCCAAAATCCTACCAACAGGCTTAACGTTTGATTAGAAAAAAACAATACAAAATAAAATATTTGCGATAAGGGTAAGTAAGTTCTACTGTCAAAACAAAGTGAGATACCTTCTTGTAAGACATCTCGCAGGGTGACTCTGTCCCTTGAGATGGCGATGTCTTTCACTTTCGCCTTGGCCTCCATTAGCGTCACGCTCCTCAGGTCGTTCTTCTCTATTCGTAGAGATGGGTAACCTTTGAGGGGAAGAAAGGAAAAAAAATCAGGTTATGCAAACAAAATTCCTCCTGTTCAGTCAAACAGCCGCTGCACTTCAAATAAATTGTGGTGATTACTAGAAACAGAATGAGTAGGATGATGTGTAGTGCCTTACACATATTGCATATATACAAATTCATGCAAAGTCCTGTATTACAGCACTGTTATTACATAATCTTCGCATGTCCAAACTGTCAACAGCTGTAGGCGCACACAGTTCCTCACACTGGAGAGACGTAACAGAAAATGGCAAATGTTGCCTCTTTCAAAGGCCAATGATGGCTGACATATTGTCTTCTTATCCCCTGAACTACCAGCCAATCAAACCAGTTTAACCTTTTTACATTTTGTCACAATAAAGCAAACAATGTCATTTATTGGGATTTTATGATAGACAAAAACAGGCTACTAGGGATGTCCCAACACTACTTTCTGCATTTAAGATAAAATACCCATATGGCCGCTTTGGCTATTTACTGATACTGATATCAGTTTGAGTAATACAGAATTTTATTACTAATTATATAGCGTTGAACGATAGAAAAGGTTTGATCACGTGACATTAATCAAACAGAGACCAATAATTAAAGTCAGTTGTGAGAAAAACTCACCCATTTCTTATTCAAAGAGTTTCATAATCTTTAAAAAAAAAAAGGGAATAGAAGCAAAGTATTTCTATGAGCTTTTTAATTTTAGAGTTATTTTAGATGTATTCCAATATTCACTTATATCCGACCGAATTATTACTATCAGTATGGGAAGGGGACGGCTCTACATGCTGCAGTATAATTTTGAGGTGGAAACAAAACATATAAAAAAGTGTACGTTTTTGTTTTCAGCCTTCCATGTAGAAACTTTATTTTTATTTCTAATAACAGCAGTTTAACGGCAGGGCAGTAAAAGCTTAGAACATCCAGATACTGAGATTTCAGTTGCATGTTTGGGGCTGTAGTTCTACTGGAAGGAAAACCTCCGCCTACGCTTTTATCAGTTAATCTATTTTTTTGTTTTATGAAGATTTTATTTTGGAAAAATCTGGAATATTATTTCCAACAATTCACTCCAATTATGTTTGGTTGCAGTTTAAATGAAGGTAACCTCCCAGATTGTGCTTTTGTAGAAGTTAAATGTAATTTATTTTAAAGCGAATGAAGCATAATATTAGTCTTTAGATGGAAAAAGTTGGAGAACACTGTATTACTTTTTTATCAAATATATCTAGACAGACAGACAGATGGACAGAGACATAAAAATAAAGCATGGTGGAAGTGGGAAGGGATATAATCATAGAATATAGGATTTATTTTTAATAAAAAAAACTCAACTAAAAATAAACCAAATAATATAAACCAAAGATTGCAAAAAAAAAAACTTGAGAAATATAATTTTTAACTTCAAATAATAAAGCCAGATAGTAAGAAATGGCTCAATACTAAAAAGACACAGATTTATTTTTTTTTTTTTTATTAAACTCATAGGTAAGTAGATAAGACTGACAAACATGAACTTTGATAAACACAGAACAGGTTTAGGCTGCCCCCTACAGGCCACTGAATGAACCCCTCCTTAAACCAGGCTTAGGAAGGAATAAACAAACATGGAGACATATCAGAGCACTAGACGGTAACAAATGCTCAACAGAGAGATTGTAGTTAAGGCAGCTGCATAAACAATAACAAGCGGATAATAAAGAACGTCAGAGACTGATTTCTGCTTTCCATCGGCCCTGTCAACGCTCAAGGCACTTTCTTTTGGAGAAAAATACACTTTGTACTGGGAAAAAAAAACAAAAAACATTGTTAGTTTGTTGGATAAAAAGTTGATTGGATTATAGCAGAGAAAGAGCTGTCCAAACGGATAGTCCTCATTTTCTTAAAACTGCATATCAGCTTTAGTTAATTGTTTTCTAAAGGACAATTTATGCTTCTGATGCGTAGCCTCTGCAGCAGTCAAATCTGTCTCCGTGCACGAACACGCCCCCCGCGCAGAGGTTCTGCAATCGTTGTTGCGCACCTCAAAAAATCCTGACTATGCTTCGGACGGTCGCAGACCTGCGCAGACCTCAAGCGGAAGTGCGGGCAAAAAGCAGCTGTGACTGGTCCTTGGTATGCCTTTCCGGCTGTCTGTGTGGTCGTCCTTCTCGGTTCGGTGCCGGGGTGGGCCATTTTTAAAAACCCAGGAACAATACAAAGTACAATGGACACCTACGACAAAAGGTGGAAGTACAACCACTTGTAGGATGCCTCAGACAAATTATATAAAGATGCCAAGGCCTCTGCCAATTCCTGAAGGGAGATCAGACAGGACCTTTAGCGGGATCCAAAGGAGTGTTTACAAAGGTGGAAGAGACTGAGAGGTAAATATGTGAGTTCTCGAATAGGCTCCCCCTTGCGCTTTGGCGGGAAACTGCTGTGCGTCCCTAGAGATTCCAGACCGACGGTGCAGAAGCATACCAGCAAAACCGGTTCATGATGACCCGAGCGACATTTGATGTGAATAAAAGTTATTCTCATATGTTTGGATCCAACGTTTTAGAACTTCAAACCTTACATTTTTCTGTACCCCATCACAGCAAAGGGAGGAAAATGTGCTGCGTGGATGGTATTAATGCTATTGCTCAGCTTCAGTGAGGTTTGCAAAACCCAAGTCATGAGGAATGAAACGTGGTATCAAAGCGCATGTAAGAGGAAGGAAACTATTTTCAGCAGGGGTATGTCTGCTGCAGCCTGGTGTGAGACTGCAGCTGACGGATAACAGGAAGGCTCACTGAGGGACAGCAGAGCTGCTCAGTTTCATCCTGTGGAGCTCTGGCATGGAAAATGTTTGCAGCATTTTGCAAACCTCAGGGTGAAGGCAGGGTCTTCCTGGTCAGTGGGGGAAAAAAAATCCTCCAGGTCATACCAGATGCTTCTGACAGTTAGAAACAAAACTTAAGTAGTAATGTCATTTTAAAGAGTGAATCATTTTTAAGCAAATAGCAACGAATTTAGCGAGTTTTTGTTTTGTTGTTTGAGACTTTGGGAACAAAACAAAGCGGCCATTGCGTCTTTGGTCTTCAGCAAGCAGAGAGTGCAGCTTGAGGACCTAATGCTTTGAAAGCACCAACAGGTGGCAGAGGTTAGCCTCTCAGTGCAGCGGAGGAAGACAACTGTGTCGGTTTCCCCTTTGAAAACGAGTCACGCTGCAGAACAAAGCTTGGAACAGATTCTTCCCTGGATTACACAGCAGGATGTCAATATAATATAAACACAACCTCTGGGTCTGTCTGCCATCTTTAGGTTAAATGTCATAAAAATGTATACGTATATGCAGTTTATGTTCAGGTAAAAGTTTTAAACATATCTTAAGGGATTTTGATCACTTTCTGTCTTACCAATATTGATATTCCCCTCTCCTGGAATTAACATACTTTTTATTTGAGATATAGTTTTTTCTTTTGTATTTAAAATACATTATTTAAATAGCTTTTTTTATAGTTTTGCGTTAAAAGTTATTCAATATGTACTTTCAGTCAGTGCTATTTTTTTCTTTTCCTCATATTTGATTTAAAAAAAAAAGAAAAGAGTATCTGTTACGGTACTAATACAATACTGGATCGATAAGGAGTATGGTTTGTAGTGGTAGGATTATAACCCATTTAAACAATTGAGGACTGATCATAAACTTTTTGTCATAAATAACTGGCTTATTAAGTTTACTCAAACCACTAAATTTTTTTATTTTATTTTCCTAAAACATGAAATAAAATTGAGCATTCATTTACTTTTAAGGGTTGTAGTAAATATAGGCAAGGAAAATAATTTGGGGGCTTCTATTTATCAAAGCAGGTTGTCAATGTAATTCAGAGGGAGACAAAACTGTGACATGGGTCCATTTCTGAGGAAAATCTTTAAAAAAACAAATTTTTGCTGCTAAATTAGACCAGAAGGCTTTTTAAGTATTTAAGATGGTAAAGATATGCAGCTTCTTGATATTAACACATCAATAATCAATTAAAAAAGGCTGAATCCTTGTAGGATCCCTGCAGATCGATGGTATTGTGACTCCAATCTGCTTCAGTAAGCAAAACCCTTTGCAGAGTTTGTTGCTATGGTTACATATTTTATCTATCCAAGCCAAGCTGTGTTCTTAACCCTATGAAGGAGCCTTTGACCTGGTTAAATGTGACAATAAAGAAGTGTGTGCTCAGACATTGTGTTTCTTTTTTCTCTTCCTAGCAAACTTACTTTTGGTTTCATGAGGGGGGGCACCGGGGTTTTGGAAGGAGGAGGCAGCAAGCTGGAGAATGGGAGCAGAGCCAGGGTGATTGTCTGATGACAGGAGGGGGAGGCAGGGAGTGGAAAGAGGGGGAAAGAGGGAGAGATAAGCAATTACAAGGATGGCACACACAAATTCAAACGGCACCTGGATGGACAAATGGACACATCTAGATTCTGTTTAGACGTCCTTTCACTCTCACAAAGATACATCCTTCATAAAGCTGTGGGTTAAAGCATTGGTAGGGGACACAGACAGAGAAAATGAAAGAGGGTTGGACTAAATGCACAAACAGTGAAATGTAGATTGTGTCCACAAGAGGGCGATGGCAGATCAATTATTGACATTTTATAACTGGTTCTCAAAATGATGCAAAACAACAACAAGAGTAGAACAAATACAGAAACTTTAGGATGAACTAAACTAACTAATTGAACAGTAACCCTCCCCCTTTACATCTCTGCTACAGTCACACATCAAAACTGGTTGGAAAAAAAGAAGAAAAAAGTAAAAGAAAATCAAACAACAGAGTAAACCAGCAAGTAAACCAATAAATCCAAAGCAAAAAAATATTTATGGTTAAATATAAACAAATCCAAGGACAACAGAAACCATGCTTCAGAACTTATAATCTATTTTTTTTTTACCCACAACCACAACCCTAAGAGCATATGACGTGGCATTCGAACGTCCAGCAGGTTTCCTCTCAGCACCGTCCCCATGTTTATATGATCCTGACGTCTTCCAGCTTCTCTCCCCCTGTTTAATTAAAGCATCCTCAAAGAACCTGGTATGGAGTCTCACGAGGGTCAAAAGGTTCAACTTCAGTCTAACCCGAACAAACTGCTACAGCTGACATATTTCAACCTACCTTTAGGTTTTAAATCATTGTTTGATCTCTATTATAAAAACAAATTGCCTATACCATAAGAATTACGAGAATAAAGTTATTATATTACAAGAATTAGGTCATATCATTAGCTACGTTTATATAGTCACAATTTCCTTGATCAGATCAAAGCCTTGGCTGATCAGAAATTCAAATTCTGTTTACATGGACACTACCGTTCAATCATGTTAAATCCTTTAAGCATGTGTGAAGCTGTCGACTTTTCCAGAATAATTACAGGAAAACGTCATGCTAACGTTGCACACATGAACAGTGAAGATTATTTTACTCCAAAGAACTGACTTGGTGTGCAAATGGACGCCAATCGTAATGGCGATCAGCAAATACCATCTCTTTCTTTCGGAATGAATTTAAATTTTTTTTGTGACCAGGTTCACATAGCAAGTGAAAATAAAGTCCCTACATTATAAGAATAAAGTACTATTGGTAGAATAACCTCATCCTTTGACAACAAAAGTATGATATTATGAGAATAAAGTCATAATTTTCTAAGAATTAAGTGATAACACTGAGAAAAGAAGGACTACATTATATAAAAATAGCCTGGGTGCCAGTCCGAACTTAGTCCCGCCCACAAGGTTTGAGTTCGGGGAAGTTCGGTCTGGCTCTGCTCCATAGTAGCGCGAGTATTAAAGCCCACTGTCAGGCGATCCAATCAAATTGTCAGGGCGGGCTTTATACGATGATGGACAGATGATCAAGAGTAACGTTATCAACCACGTGACCAAAGCGCGCTTGGGTGACAACAATAATGGCTGCCGCTGGAGAGTTTGGGTGAGTAGATTCTGCTATTAGGTCTATTCTAGAAGATATCGACAGCAAATTAATTTTAAAAGAGGAACAGAGAAACGCGATCACGTCTCATCTTCTTATTCTAGGCGTGAAACTGCACGCTTTGATTTTTGTGGACAACAACTATGCCTCGCTTAAGATACGTCACGCACTCCGTTGCTCTTATTGGTTGTAGGTCTATCCAATTGAGTGCAGAGGCATTTTTTTTCCTGGTTCGTTCAAAACACGCCCCATAATCACAGCTCAATGGAGCAGTATCAGACTCATATTCTGACTAGAATTGAGTCGGACTACGTCAGGCTAATATAAAAAAGTAGTAATGGTAAAAAACTCATAATTTCAGAACACTACATTACAAGACTAAAACAATATTGGTATAACAGTGTCATAATTTGAGAATAAGGTGTTAATGTTACAAGAAAAAAAACGTATGACATTACGAGAGTTTAATGCGAACTGGCTTTTAGCTAGGAACACTTCATAGGATGTACACCTTCACGCATCACATCTTCGGCGTTGCGCGGCGTAGGGGGGTCCAGGGGTATCCTCTCTGAGAAGATGTTGAAATTTAGACTCTCAAACGCAATTTCCTGCATTTTGAGGTGGAATGCAGCTAACTTTACGTCTTTGTTACAACACTACTTTTGTCCTGATAATGGAAAGTAAGTTTGCTTGACTAGGGGTGGAAATTTTAGGTACAATATTTTTTTTCATAGTTAATTCAAACAATCAGAAAATGTAATGATCTATTCACACCGTAATTTAAGCAGCAAACAGGCGCCCGCTGCTTCATTTTTGATGCTTGTACACATTAAGGTCAGACGCGCCTCAAGAGCATGTTGAAGCTTCAAGTTAAGTGCGTCCAGATGTGTTTGATGCTTCTGCTGCTCCTGTTTTCAACAGCAGAGAGCGGCTTTGCTATATTTGCTGTGATAATTGGGTAAAAAGAAGTTTCAATATATTTTTAAGCGAGAAAGTCCACCTCAAAACACATCTGTGCAGTCAGTTCTTCAAGATTAGGATCCTGCCTTAAACTATTGTTTCGCTGTCGGAGGCGCTCAGATCCATACATACAGGGAGTGTGCCGTCACTGGGAAACCCAGCAGCAGCTGCCCCAGGCCTGGTCGCCTCTTGGGGGCTTTCTTCTTAATCTTCGTGTCAGCTGGAAGATGTTTAAGTTTTCATGTATGTGGCTCAAACTGCAAACACCACAATAATGAAAGGGAACATATTTTGCCAGCAGGTTTCGACATTTTAAGTTAATTTAGGGGTTAATAAACTGTTCCAGTGGAGGGATCATAGCGATCTGCATCAGCAATGCTGTCTGTCTGTCTGCCAGCTTGCAGTTCAGCTTCTCTGATTGGTTGATGTGGCGTGTTGAGCAGCAAAAGTTAAATTTTCCAACTCCATCATCTGCTAATTGTGAAATTCTGACCATTTGAGCGAAGTTTCCATGGGAAAAACAGGACGTACAATTTATAATATTTTTAGTAAAGGCTGTACGCTTTGCTAGCTAAAAGCTGATGTAAACTATCAGGCCCCCTCTCAGGCATCAGTTTAGATAAACTGATAACTTACTTCTTCTCATTCAAACAGATTTTTTTTCCTATAATCCTTCATTCTCACATTATGGTTTTATTCTGGTTTTATAGTAACTTTATTTATGTACATTACTTGTGTAATCCTTCAGTTCTCATAGACCTAATTACAGGGTTTATACAGGAATGAGTAAGTCTAATTTAATGCTTTTTAATGTTTTTTTAATGCCCTAGAAATAATTTTAATGCCATCAACAAGTACCCATGAGCCATTTTTGTTGAAATTAGCATTTTCCCCCCATTCTCTTCTTTTTCTTTTTACATACGTCTTTACGATCAACCAGAAGCAGTTCTGACAAATATTTTGCAATATAATATATCTGACTTAATTGTTTTTATAAACTTTTTTTTTTAAACAAAGTTTTTTTTAATGTCACAATAATCACATTTAATGAATTTTAATGCCAAATAAGGCCTTAATTTAAAAAATAATAATTTAATGACTTTTAATGATTTTTAATGACCCGCGGAAACCCTGAATTAGACTTTATTCTGGTCATTTTTAAATTGTTCTCGGTATGACCTTAAAGCAAACTTTATTGAAGACACTTGAAATTATCAAAAGAAAAGAAATCTTGATTTTAGGAGTTTTTGAACTGTGACCCCCATAAAATATCAAATGAACTAAAGATGAAAGGACCTAAAGTCTCTACTGGGGGTGTTATTTTTGTAAAGAATGTCCTTAGCTACATTAAGAGGGTAGACATGGTGGCCTATGTTCAGGGGAGAGAAAGAGGGTGAAAAACTCCACAAGTCCTCAGGCAGCACCAACATTAGCCCCCAACATCTGTCTTAAGGTCAGAAGAGAGCAAACAAAACGCTGACCTCAACTTTTCAGATAAATTGTTTATATTTAGCACTTAAGTTTGTTAGCACATGTCTACCTTTCCCAGCAGGTTCTATAATTGCATCAATTTGGGTAGGATCACTTCCTGTCAGGTCCAGCATAAAAAGCCCCCCAATCGTAACTGCTGCCTGATGCAAAGCACATGGTGCTGATATTTACACACTACTTGGAGCAAAAGAGGTCACAAGGCTAGACGCAACAAAAGGAGGGACTACACTGCTGCAAGGGCTCTGCTCCTCATCCCGATCTTATGATTCCAGTGAGGCTCATTAACTTATTTAGACAGAAATTAGATTTGGAAAAGCATCCGCATTTGCAGCTAGCAGGGTGAGGAGATAAAAAAAAACAACTGAATGAAGATTAAGGAGTAATCTAATATGAGCATTCACAGATACTAACTGAATGAGGCTGGTCACATACACACTGCTGATGAGGAGGAAAGACAAAAAACACCTTACTGGTGACAGAAGCAGCGTTGTTTGGAGTGTCGGCCCTCAGGTACTGTGTAGTCTGGGTGGACGGCTGAGAAAGACCCTGTGAGCTTCCACTGTCACTCACACTGAAATAAAGACCAAAAAAAAAAAAAAAACATGATGCAGCTCATTAAACAGCATGTCAGCGCTATAATACTGCTTTGCTTTCTGTGATCCAGTCTGAGACCAAGAGTGAAGACATGAAATTTCAAATACTTGAGCAGGTAAATAAAACTAAGCCCAATTCTCTCTTTGCTCTCAGCGCTGAGCTTTATAGCGACTCTTGACTCTGATGTTTCTAACTCTTCAGCAAGGAAAGTTGCTATAGGCTGTCCTAATGATGATGCCATCACCTAATTTGCATATTTGGTAATGCGTTTTAACAAAACAAGCCATTAGAAACACAAAATATTTACTCTTAAAAAATAATTTAAGTATTCTATAATATTTTACCATAACTAATTCTACATCAATCAACTTGTTATGCAATTAAATTCCTTTTAAAGAGTTAGCAGTGGATGAAGATATGTATGAATTAAATGTATGGAGGGATCTAGTCAAGTTAGATGGTTTCGAAGGAATAAAAGACAACAGAAAAAACATGATGTCAAATATTATATGAAAGGTTACTATTGTAACAATACAGTAAATAAATAACGTGGCGAATAATTTTAAATGTGTCATTAACTTATTACAACTGCAAATAAATACAAGATTTATTTAATAAATAAATATGATCCAATTTAATTTCCCTCTGGGATTAAATAATTATTTTTTTAATGGAATCATTTAAGCATAATTATCTGGGCATCAAATAAATATATTAATTTCCTTTTAAGAACTGAATTCTAATATTTCACTATTCAATCATTTATTTCATGTTCTTGCACTGAAGCACACCATTAATTTATTTAAACAGTCACATATCAAAATATGAGGAGTCTGTGGCAGCTCCTGAAGCTAGACCACAGTGAGCTTCATTGCAAGTTTTTAGATAAATGTCAAACTAGAGATACGGAGACTGGAGTTGCTCATCCAATGCACAAATTAATTGAAAAACATTTATGAAGTTATTTCTGCTTTTTTCAGACAATTTATTGACTTAAGAGTGAAAGAAAACCAGGAGGAAGTTCCATCATCTTCCTCAGTGAGAAGCAGCCAATCAGACATCAGGGTTTCTATGGAAGCAGCCCTTGTCCCGTCTCCTTGACTTTTATGAATGAGTGAAAATTTTAATTAATTTATGGTGTGCTTCAGAGCAAGAACAGAAAATTCTTCATTAAATCATGAAATATTTGAATCCATTTCTTAACACTGCTTTTCTCTCTCTAACTAAAGGCGATAAACTCAGAGCAATCTGTGCTTTAATGTTGTCGCCAAAGTCTCAGTAAACACAAGAAAGAAAGCCTTTAGATTTGTCGCTAGTTTTTGTTTTGAAAAAAGTCACTTTAACAGTCTTAAAAGACTAAGTATACCCACAAGGTTGCCAATTTGCAGCGGTGCTCTTCTATTAGAGATACATAAGGATTTTAATATATTTTTAATACATTGAATGGTTCAGGAGGTTTACAAACTTAACTAGGAATAAAAATGTATTCTACTACGCTGAGCGTTGCTAAAGTATTATAGCTCTTGAATTATTTCAGAATTTAGTATTTTACAAAGAGCAAAGCTCAACTATTTCATTAGGATTTCATGAAAAAACAGGCGACTGTATTAATGTAATGTGGTACAAAAATGTTACGTTTTAAAGGTTTTTTTTTTTTTTTTTTTACTCATTTTATCACCAAGTCTGAAAAATGTCGCCAATAATTGAGCTCAGATCTTCTAAGTTGATAAATGACGTATTCAGGTTTATGTCTCTACCAGATTAAGACAATTTCAGAACGAGTCAAGCTTAATTATACTGAATGATTTAGTTCTTTGAAGAACAATTTTAAGTATTAGCTTTGGGCTTTGACAACACCAATGCTTAGACAAACACCGCCCCAATCTTAAGTCTTCTAGAGCCTCTAACAGTTATTCTTCCATAGGTACCCTGTATTTAGCTCCTGTATATCACAGGGATAGTCCTGCCAAAGAAAAGCGTCTCAACAGCATGGTGCAAAAACAAAAAATAAATATATATAAAACATGCTCAGAAAAAATATATTCTCTTGATATGAAAAACTTATTTATAATTTTCCTTTTAACCCCAGACTACCCTGTGTTGGTCTTTTCCATATAATCCCAATAAAATCGATTTGATTTTGGGGATGTGATGTTGCAAAACGTTTTGGAAAGCATAAAATAATTCAGCTACATCCAATGGATTATGAGGCTTGGAGGAAGGCAGTGGAGAAACTATTGTAATATAGAATGAGAAATGTTATTAAATGGGATTCAACTGCAGAAATACTGACTGAAGAGATTTTAAATCAAACTTTAACCTCGGGCAAAGCAGAGGTTAAAGAGAAAAAAAAAATTCAAGATATGATCAATGTTTTAATCCATAATATTTTCCTCTATGCAATGAATCCAGGATAAAAGACATTTTAGGGTTGCACTGATCAGAGGTTTAACTGACATTAAAGAGGACATTTAAGGAGGAAAAGTGTTGAAAACTGAGGCCAACCTGTCCTCCATCTCCACCCTCTTCACGCTGTGCAGGTGGAGGATGGCCAGGATGATGGCCACAAGAAATATAACAATGCAGCAGACGCTCACGCTGATGTAGAACACCTGGGTGGAGGTGGTGGGAGTGGGCACACTGTCGACTGTGTGGGGGGAAAAGAAACCACAGCGTCAATTATGTTAAAGCTGGAACTAGACCAAACAAAGGCTTTAGAAAGGATTAAACAGTTTTGAGAAAGGGAGCAATAGAAATATGGAAGTACTGTCAGAAAAATAAAGACTTGAACACGATCTTTAAGAGCTCCTAAGGCTGCACTTCTGCTAATGGAGACCAGGGCCTGAGCTTTTTTTTTTACATCACTTTGAAAGAAAAAGCTCCAGGGGCCACATCTTTCTCCATCCAACCAAAGCTAAAGGATACAAGTCCAAGTAATGGAGCTTTGTTCCTGGGTCTGTACAGTAGTAGCCATTCAAACTTTCCCCACTTTCCTTGATTGATCCTTCGCTAGTACCCGACAATTTCTTTTTAAACATTCTTATTTGTGCTAAAATATTCTTTCTGTCACGATTTGTGGACATTAAGATCATTAAGATCTAAAGAGAAGCATCAAATATGCAAGAGGGGGGTCACTCCAGTGGCTGGAAGTTTGAGGGGATTTTGCTGGGATTTAGAGGGACGTGGGCTGCCGTTCAGCTGGGGTTTGAATGGCTGCTACTGTATGAACTACCTCCTCAAAGGTGTGAGGGTCTGACAGAGAGCTTTCTAATGACTGTCTTTTTCTCCTGGAAAGCTGATCTACTTCAGCCTGACGGCACCTGGGACAGACATGGATTAAACATGGCACTGACAGAGGTGAGATCACTTACATGGGAGAGCGCTGTTATTGCTGGAGGGGGTAATCTTTGAGTCAGAGTCAGTTCCTGTTGGAAGAGGAATGGGGAGCTTGATTAAACCTGAGAAACATTAATTCATGGATGGTTCAGAGAGAAAACATCATGACCCATGTTTAAGCAAAAAGAAAAATCATAAAAAAGGTTAAATAGGAAGGAGTAGGCACTGTTCCCACATGACCTATAACCTCCATCTAATGAAAACATCTCAGATGATAAAAGGTCTTTCTATGTCACATGATAATATAATAATAAATAATAAACTTAAATTAGGGTAAGTATTCAGTCCTCAATGACTATAGCATATTCTTATGCTGCGTTCACACCGGACGCAGAAGGCGCGACAGGAGCAGCGAGTTTACATGCAAAGTCAAAGGTTGATGCACGTCAAGGCGCAGCGAAAGGTCCCGTGGCGCGTTTTGAGCAGCAGGCGCAGCGCGTCTGAGCAGCTGAAGCAGCACGTCAAGCGCGTTTAAGCATCTGACGCGCGTGACGCGCCGCAAACACGCTGCTGCTCGAGATGGAAAAATTGAACTTTTGCTGCTCGACACGCCGCGTCAACCAATAAGAGGAGGTGATCTGGGAGCTGGCAGGGAGAGAGACACAGCGCTGATGATCAGAGCGCTATGATCACTCCTCTGAAACAGTTTATTGACGCATAAATTAACTTAAAATGCAGAAATCTGCCGGCAGAATAAGTTCGCTTTTATTATCCTGGTGCCTGCAGATCGGAGTATTTAGATGGAAAACACCTACCAGCCGCCGCGGTAAACCGCGAGGAGGCGACCCGGCCAGAGGCTGCTGTTGAAGGGATTCTTACTGTCGGCGCACCGCTGGTATGTGGGGGTCTGAACGGCTCCGACAGAAATAATATTGGAAGGCAGGATTGTAATCTGGATGAACTGACTGCA